TGTGTTTATGGCTCTGTTTCCACCAGGTGTTAAGTGATTTCTGTGATCGGATTACAGGGTATCAACAGACTGTCATGATCGGATCACTGAACACACGTATCGTGAATCTCCGCCCACTTGCCTATCAATCAAACACTGCTCCGCCCACTCACCTGTCAATCAAACAGTGCCCTGCCCATTCACCTGTCAATCAAACACTGCTCCGCCCACTCACCTGTCAATCAAACACTGCTCCGCCCACTCGCCTGTCAAACAGTGCCCTGCCCAGTTACCTGTCAATCAAACACTGCTCCGCCCACTCACCTGTCAATTAAACACTGCTCCACCCACTCGCCTGTCAAACAGTGCCCTGCCCAGTTACCTATCAATCAAACACTGCTCCGCCCACTCACCTGTCAATTAAACACTGCTCCACCCACTCGCCTGTCAAACAGTGCCCTGCCCAGTTACCTGTCAATCAAACACTGCTCCGCCCACTCACCTGTCAATTAAACACTGCTCCACCCACTCGCCTGTCAAACAGTGCCCTGCCCAGTTACCTATCAATCAAACACTGCTCCGCCCACTCACCTGTCAATCAAACAGTGCCCTGCCCATTCACCTGTCAATCAAACACTGCTCCGCCCATTCACCTGTCAATCACTGCCTAGCCCACTCACCTGTCAATCAAACACTGCTCCGCCCACTCACCTGTCAATCAAAACACTGCCCTACCCATTCACCTGTCAATCACTGCCTAGCCCTCTCACCTGTCAAACATTACTCCACCCACTCACCTGTCAATCAGAAACTGCTCCGCCCACTCACCAGTCAATCAAACACTGCCCTACCCATTTACCTGTCAATCAAACACTGCCTAGCCCACTCACCTGTCAATCAAACATTACTCCACCCACTCACCTGTCAATCAGAAACTGCTCCGCCCACTCACCTGTCAATCAAACACTGCCCAGCCCACTCACCTGTCAATCAAACACTGCCACAGGAATTCTTCCTAGTTATGTGCAGCTTTAAATGACCTTGATTTAGAAAGGAAAGTTCAGAAGATCTCGAACACAGACTTCACCTGCATGCACTGACAAATACTTTACAGTATGCGTGTTTGGATAAAGGTGAAGAACATCTAAAATTCATTAATTCCACTAAAATAACAATGAGCGCTCTTTCACTTCATCACGTGTGTCTGACGGATCACCTGATAGGAGATGGAGATGTTACCGTCCGTTAACAAAGCTTTGACAGTGTTGTGTCGGTCAGACATTCTCCAGCAGCCAATCATATTTCCTTAAATATTTTGCTGCATGTACCATAATTCATGTGAGATGAGTCCGACTGAAGATAAGCAGACAGTGAGTTTATGGTGCTGACAGAAGACAACATTCATCATTTGATGTTTATGACACGTCATTATATGTGATAGTTGGAACAGAAGGGCCAAAGTCTGTGCTGGGAATGCAAAGAGTGTGTGATGGTGTGGAAGCGTTTACTGACCTCAGATCCGGTGAAATGATCTGCGCTCCTGCTCCTCTCTTCTTCAGCCCCGTTATGACATTTCTCCCTTTAAAAACAGCCACTTCATCTCTGTGACATCATACCGTACACTATAAAATCCATCAGTGATTCTAACTTTCACCTTTTAGTTAACTTTACCAAATGTCTCTTAACTTAATTGTAAAAGTCCAGTACTCTGTACTATTCACATACTATGCTTTGTTTAATCAGAAAACCCAAGTTAATATTAATTGATTGGTTTGTGTCGATTTTTAGAAGGGAAAATTCTTAAAAGACTTTTTTGCATTCACTCGTTTCCCAATAACTCTGACAGTAACTCTATGACAGTAAGTCTATGACAGTAACTCTATGACAGTAAGTCTATGACAGTAACTCTATGACAGTAACTCTGACAGTAACTCTATGACAGTAACTCTATGACAGTAACTCTATGACAGTAACTCTATGACAGTAACTCTATGACAGTAACTCTATGACAGTAACTCTATGACAGTAACTCTATGACAGTAAGTCTATGACAGTAACTCTATGACAGTAACTCTATGACAGTAACTCTGACAGTAACTCTATGACAGTAACTCTGACAGTAACTCTATGACAGTAACTCTATGACAGTAAGTCTATGACAGTAACTCTGACAGTAACTCTATGACAGTAACTCTATGACAGTAACTCTATGACAGTAACTCTATGACAGTAACTCTGACAGTAACTCTATGACAGTAACTCTATGACAGTAACTCTGACAGTAACTCTGACAGTAACTCTATGACAGTAACTCTATGACAGTAACTCTGACAGTAACTCTATGACAGTAACTCTATGACAGTAACTCTGACAGTAACTCTGACAGTAAGTCTATGACAGTAACTCTATGACAGTAACTCTATGACAGTAACTATGACAGTAACTCTATGACAGTAACTCTATGACAGTAACTCTATGACAGTAAGTCTATGACAGTAACTCTGACAGTAACTCTATGACAGTAAGTCTATGACAGTAACTCTATGACAGTAACTCTATGACAGTAACTCTGACAGTAACTCTATGACAGTAACTCTGACAGTAACTCTATGACAGTAACTCTGACAGTAACTCTCTGACAGTAACTCTATGACAGTAAGTCTATGACAGTAACTCTGACAGTAACTCTATGACAGTAACTCTATGACAGTAACTCTGACAGTAAGTCTATGACAGTAACTCTATGACAGTAACTCTATGACAGTAACTCTATGACAGTAACTCTGACAGTAAGTCTATGACAGTAAGTCTATGACAGTAACTCTATGACAGTAACTCTGACAGTAACTCTATGACAGTAAGTCTATGACAGTAACTCTATGACAGTAACTCTATGACAGTAACTCTGACAGTAACTCTATGACAGTAACTCTGACAGTAACTCTATGACAGTAACTCTGACAGTAACTCTATGACAGTAACTCTATGACAGTAACTCTATGACAGTAACTCTGACAGTAACTCTATGACAGTAACTCTATGACAGTAACTCTATGACAGTAACTCTATGACAGTAAGTCTATGACAGTAAGTCTATGACAGTAACTCTATGACAGTAAGTCTATGACAGTAACTCTATGACATTAACTCTGACAGTAACTCTATGACAGTAACTCTATGACAGTAACTCTGACAGTAACTCTATGACAGTAAGTCTATGACAGTAACTCTGACAGTAACTCTATGACAGTAACTCTATGACAGTAACTCTGACAGTAACTCTGACAGTAAGTCTATGACAGTAACTCTATGACAGTAACTCTATGACAGTAACTCTATGACAGTAACTCTATGACAGTAACTCTATGACAGTAACTCTATGACAGTAAGTCTATGACAGTAAGTCTATGACAGTAACTCTATGACAGTAAGTCTATGACAGTAACTCTATGACAGTAACTCTATGACAGTAACTCTGACAGTAACTCTATGACAGTAACTCTGACAGTAACTCTATGACAGTAACTCTGACAGTAACTCTATGACAGTAACTCTGACAGTAACTCTATGACAGTAACTCTATGACAGTAACTCTATGACAGTAACTCTGACAGTAACTCTATGACAGTAACTCTATGACAGTAACTCTATGACAGTACATCTATGACAGTAAGTCTATGACAGTAACTCTATGACAGTAAGTCTATGACAGTAACTCTATGACATTAACTCTATGACAGTAAGTCTATGACAGTAACTCTATGACAGTAAGTCTATGACAGTAACTCTATGACAGTAAGTCTATGACAGTAACTCTGACAGTAACTCTATGACAGTAACTCTGACAGTAACTCTGACAGTAACTCTATGACAGTAACTCTCTGACAGTAACTCTATGACAGTAAGTCTATGACAGTAACTCTATGACAGTAACTCTATGACAGTAACTCTGACAGTAACTCTATGACAGTAACTCTGACAGTAACTCTGACAGTAACTCTATGACAGTAACTCTATGACAGTAACTCTATGACAGTAACTCTATGACAGTAACTCTATGACAGTAACTCTGACAGTAACTCTGACAGTAAGTCTATGACAGTAACTCTATGACAGTAACTCTATGACAGTAAGTCTATGACAGTAACTCTATGACAGTAAGTCTATGACAGTAACTCTATGACAGTAACTCTATGACAGTAACTCTGACAGTAAGTCTATGACAGTAACTCTATGACAGTAACTCTATGACAGTAACTCTATGACAGTAACTCTATGACAGTAACTCTATGACAGTAAGTCTATGACAGTAACTCTATGACAGTAACTCTATGACAGTAACTCTATGACAGTAACTCTATGACAGTAACTCTATGACAGTAAGTCTATGACAGTAACTCTATGACAGTAACTCTATGACAGTAACATGTGAATATATAGTTACGTGTAAATTATTCCTGTGATCAAAGCTGAGTGTTCAGCATATTTACTTCAGTCTTCAGTCACATGATCCTACAGTAATCACTCTAATATGATGATCTGATGATCAAGAAACATTTATGATTATGATCATTGATGAACAGAAGAAAACATTATATTAATATATTCAGTTTTTCAGGATTCTATGATCAATAAAGTTAAAAAACAGCATTTATTTGAAAAATAAAGCTTTAGTAACAGTATAAATGTATTTACTGTCACTTTTGATCAATTTAATGCGTCCTTGATGAAATGATTATTTTGACTGATGTCAAACCTTTGAACGGTAATGTATATTTGTGTGACTCTGAATTACTAGGTGTTTGAATAAGACAATTTATGATTAACATTAACATATATGCAGTACATGTAGGGTAGAATATGAGCATGTGAGAAGTGAACCTCCAGGATGATCAGATGATTGTTTCCAGTTTGAAAAAGCTCCAGTGGCTCCTGAGTTCATGAGTTTAATCTGTTTCATAGATGAACTGCAGTCAAATAATGAAACAAACATCACATTAATGAGAATGAATCACGCAGAGTCGCCGTCAACTTGTCCTTTATTTTTAAGAGTAAAAAAGTGACGGATGGGAAACAAAAAGCTAAATGATGACATCATAGTACTGCTTCCATGAATCATGGCGCTTCAACACTTCATCGACACGGGAAACTCAAGGACAAGGAGCGTAAAAAGACACATTTTAAGGTTCTGGTGAAAATATGAATCTGTGAACTAAACAAAACAAATGTTCTTCAGTAATATCATAACAAGGTGTGTTGTCTCTAAGGCCACTGTGGGTGCTCGTCTGACGCATCATCGACATCCAACGCTCCAATCAAGACTAGTTCGGGCCGGCCTCCCTTCAGTGTGTGTGTGTGTGTGTGTTTTTCTTAACCTCACAGACAGTGTGAGATACATTTCGCTGGTTTGTACGGCAGTGAAGGTCTGTGTCTGCGGGCGTATGTGTGTGTGTGTGTTTTACGTTGGGATGGTTGTGTGTCGCCCCGGTCAGTGTGCAGTTCCTCCGCCGGACAGGTTGAGCTCCTGTAGGATCTTCGCTCGAGTGTTTTCTTGTGCTAACAGTGTCTTTATGGCCTGTACCTGTGTCCGCCCACGCTCTCCTTCCTGATCCATCCTGCGCTGAGTGCACACACACCCTACGGCACAACACACACACACATCGTCATCATCATGTACACACACACACACACAGATCAACAGGCATGTTGGTAACGCAGGTCATGAGTCTGGCTTTGGATTGGGCTGCTGGTCTGCAGGTCACACTGAGCAGTTCACAGCGATTGTCGATGAGAATAAGTCAAAGCGACACTGGATCAGACTCCTGATGCACTCTGGGAAGGATCCGACACACACGAAGCGTGAGAGACGGGGTGAACAGGAGAGGGAAGACAGGGGAATCAGTGTGTGTTTGAGTCTGCTGTGCATCGGCACACTCGGCTCCGCTTCACTAGTGTTCACACACTCGCTGTCTGCTGACTCCGTGTGCTGCGGTTCCACGCTGCGTGTGGGGTCAGGGGTCATTTGGTGCTGTTGAGTGTGCCGGCGGACCCTGGCGGACCCTGGTCTTTCGGCGCGGAGCCGTTCTGCTGGGTTTCCTCCATGTACTGTTGCACAGCTCGCGACACGGCGTCTTCAACCAGCCGCTTACTCAGACTCACTAACTCCTCATCGGCCGCTTTCTTAACACCTACACACACACACACACACACAGAGAGACAGAGCGGTCAATGAACACTGACCCTCACACACACACACACACACAGATCAGTTGAGCAAACACACGTCTTAAAGCCCGTTCACACCAGCGAAAAATAACTATATTTGCGTCCACACCAACGAGTGATAACTATAAAGATCATTTTAATGATAAATATATATCGTACACACCAGCGAGCGATAACTATAAATATAATAATAACTTTATTTGCGTTCACACCAAGAAAAGATAACTGTAAAACATAACTATGACGATAACTATATTTGCGTACACACCAGGGAACGTTAACTATTAAAATATAACGATAACTATATTTGCGTCCACACCAACGAGCGATAGCTATAAAGATCATTTTAATGATAAATATATATCGTACACACCAGCGAGCGATAACTATAAATATAATAATAACTTTATTTGCGTTCACACCAAGAAAAGATAACTGTAAAACATAACTATGACGATAACTATATTTGCGTACACACCAGGGAACGTTAACTATTAAAATATAACGATAACTATATTTGCGTCCACACCAACGAGCGATAGCTATAAAGATCATTTTAATGATAAATATATATCGTACACACCAGCGAACGATAACTATAAAATATAACGATAACTTTATTTGCGTTCACACCAAATTAATGATAACTATAACGATAACTATATTTGCGTCCACACCAACGAGCGATAACTATAAAGATCACTTTAATGATAAATATATTTCGTACACACCAGCGAACGATAACTATAAAATATAACGATAACTATATTTGCGTTCACACCAATGAACTATAACTATAAGGATAACTATATTTGCGTCCACACCAAGAAAAGATAACTATAAAACATTACTATGATGATTATTATATTTGCGTACACACCAGAGAATGATAACTATAAAATATAACGATAACTTTATTTGCGTTCACAGTTCACACCAAATGAACAATAACTATAACGATAACTATATTTGCGTCCACACCAACGAGCGATAACTATAAAGATCACTTTAATGATAAATATATTTCGTACATACCAGCGAACGATAACTATAAAATATAATGATTACTTTATTTGCGTTCACACCAATGAACGATAACTATAACGATAACTATTTGTAGCCACACCAAGAAAAGATAACTATAAAACATAACTATACGCTAACTATGAAGATATTTTATTTGCGCTCACACCAACAAATGATAACGTCTGTTTATTTGTTACGGTTTGAAAGTGTGTACGACGTCATTGAACATGTTTTCGCTGTTCTAGTTATGTTTACAGGCTTTAGCCAGCAGATGTCCTCAGCATGATGTGTTTAGAGTGAAGCTAGTCGAATCCATCTAATAATCTAATATATAGTCAATATAGTGGACACAACACCTAGTCTTTTTCACCGCCACCTCAGAGGAAGCAAGACGATGTTGTGGAAACGAGCGCTGGAGGCACAACTGCTGTTAATTCAGAGGGTGTGAACCATTGTTTTCCATGTCCATTATCTTGAGAAGAGGCTTGACTTGTCTAACAGTGCTGGAATGTGCTGACTTCTGCCATTAACTTCTCCACGATGTCGTCTGCCATTTTAAATGCGCAAAGCCCATAAATTAGAATAGATTCTGATTGGCTGTCATTGTTTTATCGTTCTGAAAGTGATTGATTCCAATGATAACGTTTCTCTATATCGTTATCGTGACGGCTGTGGTGTGAACTCTGCTTTTCTTTAATATTGAGATCTATTTTTAGCACTATATCTTTATCGTTATCTTTATGGCTATCGTCCTCGGTGTGAACGGGCCTTTACTCAGTGACTGTCGGTCAGACACAAGGTCAGGGTCACAGCTGCTAATGACTCTTTTTCTCAGATATTTTAGATTCATATAAACAGGAATATCAATGTAAGGATGCACAGATATAGACCTTTTGACTTATACAATAACCAATAATTATTCAACTGATATGTACACTACCGTTTGGGGTCGGTGAGTTTTTATAATGTATCTTCATGTATTTCAAGCATTTATTTGATCAAAAATACGGGAACATTTTAGAAATATTATCTGTTTTCTATGTGAATATGTAGTTTTCAGCATCATTACTCCAATCACTCTAATATGATGATTTAATGCTCAAAAAACATTTAGATTTTATCAATGTTGAAAAGAGTTCATATTTTGTGGAAAGCATTGCACAATTTATTTTGCAGGATTTTTTTAATGAATACAATTTCTGATAAGAACAGCATTTATTTTATATAGAAATCTTTAGTAAAATTACAAATATCTTTAATGCCATTTTTGATAATTTTTTAAGTGTCCTTGATGAATAAAAGTATTAATTTCTTTTTAAAAAATACAATACTGACCCCAAACTGGTGGTGAACAGCTTTTTAAAACAGCATTCATAAAAAAAAAAAAAAAATTGACCAATAGTTTGCTGTTTGAAATAGATAGAATAACTATTCTTCTATAATTATTTGTATGTGACTGTTCATAACTGATATGATTAAAATAAGTGTCTGTTACACTAAAACTACATCGAAAACTGCACATGCTTTTTTTTATAGTACTTCTGTTAGCTGGCACATAAATATAATTCACAGTTTGAAATAAAATAATCCCTGATAATATTCTCTGCTTCCATTCCCGTACTTCAGCTGAGAAGTTTCAATGCTGATTTGCGCACCCATATATCGTGCATCCCTAAAGTAATGGAAAACGAACACAGAGGGGGTGAATCTGCGTCTAGTGCCCTCAGTAGTAGGGTAGTGAGGGGTTGAAGTACACGACACAGAGACAGTGAAGGAGGAGCACGTACTTGTCCGTTCAGCACGCTGCCTGCTTTGCAGAAGATCTGCAAGATAAACAACACATTTAGCAACCTGAAGTAATCTCACCACAACCACAGCAGCATCAGAAACCATCACAATCACACAGATGGTCTGTGATGAAGCATGACGAGATCCCACTGATTCGCCTCAACGCGTCTGCTCAATCACGGATGATTAATACTCCTGAGATCATGCTTTGTAGATTTATGAACAATTAGGACAGCTTTGATTCCAGGGCTGCATGTCATGATTGTGACAAAAATGGCATTGCTGATTATTTCCCTTGATACTGTAATTATCATGAATAATGTTGAATATGCACAATACATTACACTGCTTCTTGCAGATTCGAATGTCATTGGAAAAAACACATTGTCTATACAGTGTATCTCATTCAATAGTAAATCCCATTATGCTTTTTCAGATATACCTTTCATGCAGTGTGTAATACAGCTGTTTGTGAATGTGAAAGGTCTGCAAAGTTTCACAGATCAAAGTGCAAAAGAAAAAAAAAACGTTAGCTGTGTCTTAATTCAGAGGCCATCTGAACAATCAATCAGAGCAGTGTAGACCAATCACAACAGACTGGGCCATCTGACCAATCAGAGCAGAGTAGACCAATCACAACAGACTGGGCCATCTGACCAATCAGAGCAGAGTAGACCAATAACAACAGACTGAGCCATCTGACCAATCAGAGCAGAGTAGACCAATCACAACAGACTGGGTCATCTGACCAATCAGAGCAGAGTAGACCAATCACAACAGACTTGGTCATCTGACCAATCAGAGCAGAGTAGACCAATCACAACAGACTTGGTCATCTGACCAATCAGAGCAGAGTAGACCAATCACAACAGACTGGGTCATCTGACCAATCAGAGCAGAGTAGACCAATCACAACAGACTTGGTCATCTGACCAATCAGAGCAGAGTAGACCAATCACAACAGACTTGGTCATCTGACCAATCAGAGCAGAGTAGACCAATCACAACAGACTGGGTCATCTGACCAATCAGAGCAGAGTAGACCAATCACAACAGACTTGGTCATCTGACCAATCAGAGCAGAGTAGACCAATCACAACAGACTTGGTCATCTGACCAATCAGAGCAGAGTAGACCAATCACAACAGACTTGGTCATCTGACCAATCAGAGCAGAGTAGACCAATCACAACAGACTTGGTCATCTGACCAATCAGAGCAGAGTAGACCAATCACAACAGACTGGGTCATCTGACCAATCAGTGCAGAGTAGACCAATCACAACAGACTGAGCCATCTGACCAATCAGAGCAGAGTAGACCAATCACAACAGACTGGATCATCTGACCAATCAGGGCAGAGTAGACCAATCACAACAGACTGGGTCATCTGACCAATCAGAGCAGAGTAGACCAATCACAACAGACTTGGTCATCTGACCAATCAGAGCAGAGTAGACCAATCACAACAGACTGGGTCATCTGACCAATCAGAGCAGAGTAGACCAATCACAACAGACTGAGCCATCTGACCAATCAGAGCAGAGTAGACCAATCACAACAGACTTGGTCATCTGACCAATCAGAGCAGAGTAGACCAATCACAACAGAGTGGGCCACCTGACCAATCAGAGCAGAGTAGACCAATCACAACAGACGTGGTCATCTGACCAATCAGAGCAGAGTAGACCAATCACAACAGACTGGGTCATCTGACCAATCAGAGCTGAGTAGACCAATCACAACAGAGTGGGCCATCTGACCAATCAGAGCAGAGTAGACCAATCACAACAGACTGGGCCATCTGACCAATCAGAGCAGAGTAGACCAATCACAACAGACTGGGTCATCTGACCAATCAGAGCAGAGTAGACCAATCACAACAGAGTGGGCCATCTGACCAATCAGAGCAGAGTAGACCAATCACAACAGACTTGGTCATCTGACCAATCAGAGCAGAGTAGACCAATCACAACAGACTGGGTCATCTGACCAATCAGAGCAGAGTAGACCAATCACAACAGACTGGGTCATCTGACCAATCAGAGCAGAGTAGACCAATCACAACAGACTGGGTCATCTGACCAATCAGAGCAGAGTAGACCAATCACAACAGAGTGGGCCATCTGACCAATCAGAGCAGAGTAGACCAATCACAACAGACTTGGTCATCTGACCAATCAGAGCAGAGTAGACCAATCACAACAGACTGGGTCGTCTGACCAATCAGAGCAGAGTAGACCAATCACAACAGACTGGGCCATCTGACCAATCAGAGCAGTGTAGACCAATCACAACAGACTTGGTCATCTGACCAATCAGAGCAGAGTAGACCAATCACAACAGACTTGGTCATCTGACCAATCAGAGCAGAGTAGACCAATCACAACAGACTGGGCCATCTGACCAATCAGAGCAGTGTAGACCAATCACAACAGACTTGGTCATCTGACCAATCAGAGCAGAGTAGACCAATCACAACAGACTTGGTCATCTGACCAATCAGAGCAGAGTAGACCAATCACAACAGACTGGGTCGTCTGACCAATCAGAGCAGAGTAGACCAATCACAACAGACTGGGTCATCTGACCAATCAGAGCAGAGTAGACCAATCACAACATGCTGAGCCATCTGTGGCCTTGTGGGATAGTAAAGTGTCCATCAAATGCACACTCCAGTATCTCAGTGTGACCCGGGCACTTTCACCTGCTGTTTTATGAATACTGTATTGTAGTGTTGTCAAAAAACTCGGTACTTCGGTACCAAGTCGGTACTAAAAAAAAAAAAATGTTACGGTACCAGCTTTTCTAGGTACCGAGTACCAGGTTAATCCAGTTCTGTTCTAGACGCGATGTCTGAAACGTGCACAGTTGCGTCCTCTTCATAACGCTGATATGGCTCTCTCTCTCTGAATCCACTTGTTGAAACGAAAGGAGGAAAGAGCCACATATGGAAATATTTTGGATTAGGCTAATGTCACGTTGCCATAAAAGGGCGATTACATGCAAATTCGCAATTTCAAATAGGCGCGATTCAAGCGCGCTCCTAATAAAAACTCGTTGGCGTTGCATAGCAACGACAGACGCCGCGTGAGAGCAAGCGCTTTGGAAAGAATAAGCACGCGCAAAAATATAATTAAAAAACACGCGCGACATGTGAACGGCCTCTAAAGTGCTTTTTCGGGGTAGTTTTACGAGTACATGAGCACAGTAGTATCTACCCGACACCAGAGTACTATGGTATTAGTATTGTCATTTAATGTCAATGCCAGTTCTAGGCGTATTCTTGCCTTTATAACTCAGCAGGTTTAAAAAGCCTTTTTAAAATTAAATATGAATGCAGTTTTAGATTATTAAAAGGACAGTCAAGTCAAATAAAACATGTTTTATGGTAATGCTACAAAGATACCATTCATAAACATTACTTAGTTATCAACACATTGAGTGAACAATATATTTTTACAACATTAATTAATGTTTGAAAATGTTATTTATTACAAACACCTGATTGTTCATGTTTGTTCACTTAATTCATTGTGCATTAAATAAATAATGGATTGAAACTTTACAAACAACTTTAAAAATGTGTTAGTGTATACTATTGTTTATTTTAGGTCATTTTATCTAATCTTTTTCTAAAGTGTTTATAATACAAATGTACAGTTTCCATACTTGTAACCGTGATAAACACTTAAATATATGTAAATTTAAACTAAGCTTTGGTACCGAAATTGGTACCGAGAACCGTGAATTTTAACTGGTATCGGTACCGAATACTGAAATTTTGGTACCGTGACAACACTACTGTATTGGGACGAACTACTTGTTGGCGTATAGTTATCACCCACCATATGGTAGAGAGGTATTTGATTTCAGACGCTGCTCAAATGTTCGAAACAAACGGTTTCAGACACTGTGAGAAAAGAGCCGATGCTGCAGTGGATATTAAAGGTTCCCTAACAAGAAATTTTCATTTTCGGAGGTTTTTTAACATTAATATTCCCCTAGACTGAGGGGAGTTCCCCTAGACTGTATTTGGTCCACTCGTGTCTAGAATTTTCAATCAGTGTAAACCGAGCTTTATTTTTCTCTTCTCTGCAGCTCAGACGCGCTGATCTTGAATCTCCCCCTATATAACGTCATAGGGGGGAAAGGTTACTCCCCTTTCTCTGCTTTGCCCGCCCAGAGAATTTGGCCCGACGATGAGCAAACGAGCTAGCATCAGGAAGTACAAACGCGCAGGTGCAATTTTATTTTTTCCTAGAGAAATAGGAGATTTGTGTTTTTCCTCGAGAGATATCATGGCTTGCAAACGAGCGAAGCATGGCAGTTGCTCAGTGTTCGGATGTACAAATGAACACAAAAGTATTTTTTTAGTTCCTTCATCTGTGCCTCTGAAGAAACATTGGGTTAATTTTATTTTCTCTAGAAATGCGCCGACTCAACTCCCAAAGTTTTGTATGGTCCAAACGGGCAGAAGACAGGTAAGTTAATCTTTCTCTCAACATCGTTCGATACTGTTTATGCATCAGTAAGTCAAGCCAGACTATTATCAACTTCACATCGTTTCATTGAGTAGGATGAAAATAATCTTATTTAAAGAAAGTGTTTAGCAGGATTGATATTCTAAAGGGTAAGCACGCGCTGCTTTGTTTACATTATGTGTATCTGCAGCCCCGGCAGCGTCGGTTTTCCTTTTTGAATGACGAATATAGACTAATAACGTAATATCTGCAGAAATAGACAGTTGGCTTATTAAACGCAGGTGCAGAACGCACAGCTGACAGTCGCCTGTAGTTCTCTCGATGTGTTCAAGTGCAGCTTTTTACCTCGACGAGAGCGGACGAGTTTCTGGCTTTAGAGAGAACAAAAACTCCGTTACACTGCACAACGAAGCAGTTTTTCTCTCTGATTAAAACCGATTATGTTTATCAGTTGTATGTTTGTGTGCATTTAACTTTGTGATTTCACCGGATCGAATATAGTCTCCACAACGGATTAAAACGCGAGTCCGTGTGAAGACTGTGTGCGACAACGCGAGCCCCAAGAGAACTGTATCCACGCCACTGATCGCAGCGGCAACGAGCACTTTGACCTCTTGTTTTCAAAAGCAACACATTTCAGCGCTAGATTGCCTCTTATTTAAAGAAATGAAATAAATGAATGCTCTGCTAGTTAGCTAGAGATGATTTATTTATTTGTATAATTTACATCCGTGCCGCGAGAGATGTTTCAAAAGTGGTGGGGACAATATCGACCCTGGCTAAAAGTGGTGGGCACATGTCTCACCCGTCCCACCCGCAAATTACGCCTATGCGATTCAGTAATCTCGATATCTGTAATAGTAAAAACGTATAATGGCTGTAGTAAAAGTATTCAAGAGAGTTTTACATGTAATATGTAGCGATTTCATATGCAAGCATG